GGGGGGGCAGCAAAACTGCAGCCAGCAAAACCGCAGCCATGGACTTTGGCCTGTTCAGGACGCTGGTTGAGAGAGTCCCTTGGGAGACAGTCCTGAAGGGCAAAGGGGTCCAGGAAGGCTGGACGATCTTCAAGAACGAAGTCTTAAAGGCGCAGGAGCAGGCTGTCCCTGTACGCCGCAAGAAGAACGGGCGGAGAAGACGACCGGCCTGGCTGAACGGGGAGCTCTTGCTGGGACTCAGGAAAAAAAGGAGAGTTTATCGCTTGTGGAAGAAGGGGCAGGCGACTCAAGAAGAGTACAGGGATCTCGTTAGGTCGTGCAGAGAGGAAATGAGAAAGGCAAAAGCCCAGCTAGAACGCAATCTGGCCACTGTTGTTAGAGACAACAAAAAAAGTTTTTACAAATATATTAATGACAAGAAGAGAGCCAGGGAGAATCTCCATCCTTTATTGGTTGTGGGAGGGAACATTGTCACCGAGGATGAGGAAAAGGCTGAGCTACTTAATGCCTTCTTTGCCTCAGTCTTTAGCAATCAGACTAGTTACCCTCAGGGTACTCGGCGCCCTGAGCTGGAAAACAGGGACGGCGAGCAGGATGAACCCCCCATAATCCAAGAGGAAGCGGTCAACGACCTGCTACGTCATCTGGATACTCACAAGTCTATGGGGCCGGATGGGATCCACCCGAGAGTGCTGAGAGAGCTGGCGGAGGAGCTCGCCAAGTGGCTCTCCATCATCTATCAGCAGTCCTGGTTAACGGGGGAGGTCCCGGACGACTGGAGGCTGGCCAATGTGACGCCCATCTACAAGAAGGGCCGGAAGGAAGATCCGGGGAACTACAGGCCTGTTAGCCTGACCTCAGTGCCGGGGAAGATCATGGAGCGGATCATCTTGAGGGCGTTCACAAGGCATGTGCGGGACAACCAGGGCATCAGGCCCAGCCAGCACGGGTTTATGGAAGGCAGGTCCTGCTTGACCAACCTGATCTCCTTCTATGACCAGGTGACCCGCCTAGTGGACAAGGGAAAGGCTGTGGATGTGGTCTACCTGGACTTCAGTAAGGCCTTTGACACCGTCTCCCACAGCATTCTCCTAGAGAAGCTGGCGGCTCACGGCTTAGACAGGTGTACTCTGCGCTGGGTCAAAAACTGGCTGGACGGCCGGGCCCAGAGAGTTGTGGTAAATGGAGTTCAATCCAGTTGGCGGCCGGTCACGAGCGGTGTTCCCCAGGGCTCAGTATTGGGGCCAGTTCTGTTTAATATCTTTATCAATGATCTGGATGAGGGGATCGAGTGCACCCTCAGTAAGTTTGCAGACGACACCAAGTTGGGCGGCAGTGTTGATCTGCTCGAGGGTAGGAAGGCTCTGCAGAGGGACCTGGACAGGCTGGATCGATGGGCCCAGGCCAACTGTATGAGATTCAACAAGGCCAAGTGCCGGGTCCTGCACTTCGGCCACAACAACCCCATGCAGCGCTACAGGCTTGGGGAAGAGTGGCTGGAAA